GATTTTTACCTCCCTAAATGCAATACCTCTCTAAGTGCACGTTTGACTAAATTTTTATATATGGTCCCGTCACATTGCATTTAGGGAGGTCTGACTGTAATATAAAATAACGGTGCACTTATTTCAATCCTTACCACAGTATTTAAAATCTTTTGATATATATTTAAAAAAAAAATGATAAGTCTAAACGGAAAGCAAATATTTTTTTTATACATAGTTATTTTTATTCTTTTATTTGCTTTTCAACAAAAATTTTGGCAGCAAAGTGAACTAGAAGGTAATCATAAATTTATGAATAATTGCTTTTATTAATGTATCCCTTTGAAAATATAAGCGAAATTTCACAAATGTTAGGGAGAATTTATAATATTTCTAAATGTTGTATGTCAAAGTAATATATGTCAGATCTAAAATTCAGTATATCGATATACATTATTTAACGTACAACACAGATAACGCATTTTTGTGTAATTTTTTTTAACAAATTTTGCTTAATAGGTTATAATCGAAATATATCCATATTTGAAGTCACACCACCAAATCCCAAAGACTTTTCAAGTTCAGATGGATACTCTTTTACCATTGTTACGGCAGCTAGCTCTAATCATTGGTGTCAATTAACAAATTGGATAAATCACTTAAACAATCTTCAACAATTGTTACCAAAGTATATAAATCCAAGAATCATAATTTACGATATAGGCTTAGATAAACAACATAGAATTATACTTGAAGCAATAAAATTTTATAAAAAATTTACTGAACTTCGAAATTTTAACTTTTCGAAATATCCAGAATTTTGGAATCTTCAAAAAAATAAGACTTCAAGGGGTGAATATGGTTGGAAAGTTGGAATAATCAAAGAAATTTCGATTGAATTTCCTGGATTTTTAATTTGGTCAGATTCCGGAACTCTTTTTAGTCAGAAAATATTTGAAAACCTTCCTGAAATTCTTAAACTATATAATGGTTTTATTTCACCAAAATCTAATGGTACGATGGATATATGGACGCATCCGGGTGTTTACAAATATTTTAATGATGATGGTAGTAAATATATAAATGTTTCTAATTGTAATGCTGCGGCCTTGTTTTTTGATACCAAAAAAACTCAATATTTAATTGATGCATGGTATGAATGCGCACTTGAAAAAGAATGTATAGCACCACAGGGAAGTAGTATAGTAAATCATCGACAAGATCAAGCTATATTGAGCTATCTTATTACAAATGATAACAGAAAATGTGAAATAGATAAAATACAATTGGGTGTACAGACTCATGTATTCGATCACCTTTGTAAAGATGAAAGAAAGATTGCAAAACACGTTAAACATATTTAGTCTAATTTTAGGCAATCAAAACAAACTTTCGCTATGTTCGTCATTTGAATTACTATAATGTAATTATTACTTTGGGGAGTGCACAAAAAAGAATCCACAAAAAATATATACAAGAACTCGTAAATAAATTGCAACTAAAATTTTTTACATTTAAAAACGCTAATCTTAACTTTAATGTAATATAAAAAGTCTATCATTTGGCCTGCGTGCTGAATTTCTGGCTTTGAAGAAATCTTGGCTGAACAAATATCGTATATAACTGCAAATTCTGGTTTGTGAGCCTTACATATTGGAGAAAATAAATTCTTCATCTGTACAGTGTATATATATATATTTTAGTAATTATTAATTTTAAAGGACAAACCATAAAGATGAATTGTACTACCTGATGCATGTATTCTGCCCAGTTTAATACCTTCAAATAACCCACACAGCTTCCTTGAAATTTTTTTACATTCTTTGAATAATGTTTAATGATCATATTAAAATTATCATTCAGGGTTCAATAATTTTTGTAATTATTTTTATTATTAACTCCTGGAAGCTTTACTTTTCTAGTATAGAATAAATATATTCATACTTTTCTCTTCTTTATTTATTCCTTTATCAATTCTGAAGAAAATAGCAATATTGATTTTTTTGTAATACTTTTTTTTGATATAATGATTCCTGTTTTATACTTTTCAGGTTTTTTTGAATCCTTTTTAACAATAGTGGTATAACAATAGTGGTAGAATTATTTTTAGAATATTAATAATAAGTTTTTGAATTTTGATTATTGATAATGATAATATTCTTTATTTCATGTTATTTTTGAAATATCACTTGATTATCTGTTTTCAAGAAAAAACTGATTAAAATTTGATGATCAAATATTTTTTTATCATTAATCAAAGATTTGAAAAATAACTTTTATGCTCATATAAACAATAGGTTGGATGCACAGGTCTATATTATTAATATTGTATAAAATTATTTTTAAAAAGAGTGCTAGTAAAGGCATTATTGTTAAATATTTACTTATATAAAGTGATAAGTTTAATAACTATCTAAGAAGTTTATTTAAAGATAATATGATAAACAAATGAGTATAATCTTTTTTATCAAGATTTTTAACTTTTAAATAGATATATATATTTTTAAAATCCTGTATTTAATTTACCAAACTGAAAATTTATTAATCAAGAGTTGATTTTTTTAAAAGAAATAATTTATTTAACATCCAGGTGAATTACTCACTCCCTTAAATACAAAAAGAAACCCAGTCATGTTAATATATTAGGGTTAAAATTAGAGTTAGAGTTAGGGTTAGTTTAAAGTAAAATTGCAGGAAGAACATTTTTGTTTATGTTATATGATAGGCTACCTTAGTAAAATTTTGCGATATTGGTATTTTTTTAAATTTTGTTATAGGGGCTAGGGCTTACCTTAGGTGAAAAATAAATTTACTCTTTTTAAACAATTATTATATTATATAATTAATTTTATAGATATCTATAAGTATAATTAATTTGAAATACTTATATTACTAAAAATAAGCATTTTTTTTTTTACTATAAGGGTGCTTATTTTAGAATAAATGTATAATTCTTAAAAGTATATCAAAAGTTAGTTAACAAAAATTAACTTTTTATCTATTTTATTATACTAAAATTTAACTAAAATATATTTTATGATCTTTATATATAAATTGTCTCATGATTAAACAATAACCGTTAGATAATTGGTAAATTTTCTGTAATTATTCTTTAATTATCTATCATAACTATTTATTAATCATCATTTATAATTTCCTGAATATGCATTAAAATTAGAGTTTCTCAAAATCAAATCAAATTAAATATTAGGCTTATTTGAATTTGATTTGATTTAAAAATCTAAATTTGAATTTGATTTGATTTAAAAAATCTGGATTTGAATTTGATT